TTTTCTTTCTTTTTTTTTCTTTTCTTTTTTCTTTCTTTCTTCTTTTCTTTCTTTTCTTTTTTTTTTAATCTTTCATTTTCTTTTCTCTCTTTTTTTTTTTTCCTTTTCTTTTTTTCTCTCTTTTTCTTCCTTTTTTTTTTCTTTCTTTTCTTTTTTTTTCTCTCTTTTTTTTTTTTCTTTCTTCTCTTTTTTTCTTCTTTTTTTTTTTTTCTTCTTTTCTTCTTCTTTTTTGTTCATTTTTTCTCTCTCTCTTTCTTCTAACCTTTTCATCTTTTCTCTCTTTCTTTCTTTTTTTTTTTCTTCTCTCTTTCTTTTTTTAACCTCTTTCTTTCTTCTCTTTCTTTCTTTCTCTCTTTCTTTCTTTTTTATTTTCTTTCTTTTTCTTCTCTTCTGTTCTTTTCTTTCTTTCTTCTTCTTTTTTTTCTCTCTTTTCTTCTAACCTGTTTTTCTTTCTCTTTCTTCTTTCTTTCTCTTTTCTGTTTTTCTTCTAACCTTTTCTTTTTTTTCTTCTAACCTGTTCATTTCTTTCTCTCTTTCTTCTTCACATTCTTCTCTCTCTCTTTCTTCTAACCTGTTCAACACTTCTCTCTCTTTTAATCTGTTCAACACTTCTCACTCTTTCTTCTAACCTCTCTTTTTTTCCTAACCTGTTTATCACTTCTCTTTCTTCTAATCTGTTTGTCTTCTCTTTCTCTCTTCTAATCTGTTCAACACTTCTCTCTCTTTCTTCTAACCTGTTCCTCACTTCTCTCTCTTTCTTCTAACCTGTTCCTCACTTCTCTCTCTTTCTTCTAACCTGTTCATAACATCTCTCTCTTCTTTTCTAATCTGTTCATGACTTCTTTCTCTTTTTTCCAAATCTGTTCATGACTTTTTGCTTCTTTTTATTTGTTTACAACTGCTGTCTCTGTTTCTTTGAATCTGTTTTCATCTTCTCTTGCCCATTTCTAATTTGTTTACAACTACTCTCTCTTCCTTCTAATATGTTCACCACTTCCCTCTCTCTTTTCTAATCTGTTTATGACTTCTCTCTCGCTCTCTCTCTTCTATTTTGTTCATGACTTCTCTGTTATAAGCTGTTCGTGACATCTCTCTCTCTCTATCAACTGATTATGATTTCATCTATATATTAATGGAGGGTGTGATCAAGAATGGATTAGCAGGGATAATGACTGTGACCATGACCACTGTTGATCACAATATAAACCCAATGTGTCAGTCTCGTCAACTTTTATAGTTTCCTTAAATATTTTGTCTCATTCTGTTTCTTTTCATTCATTTACTTTCAGAATGAGAAAATTTATCTTTTCTGCTGAGATGGCACCAACTGCACCCTTCTATTCCAAGTCTTTAAATGCTTTATTTTTCTTTGTTGCATTGTCTTTGTTCTCCTCATCACTAGACATCATTGCCTGTGATGTAAAGCTTCAGGACTGCCCGTTTTATTTTAGTGATTAGGAAAGCAGCATTCTCTCATGACATCATTTCACTGTTCTTGGAGGTTTGCTTGTCTTTTGTTTCAGGCATTGACCAAGCGAAATTTGAGACACCCAATCCAACATAAAACATTTCACCAATTTTGGAAGAGACAATGGAAAAAAATATAACGTTCTTCTTCTCTGGGATTTTTATTTACTTTTCCACAGTGACTGTTGGTAATGAAGGACAAGCCCAGTTTCATTACCCTAAAAAATTTTCTTGTTGAGTATTTAAAGTTATCAACAGTTGAAGCGTGCACACACACACACCCATATATATATATATATATATATAAGTGAACATTGAAGTCAACACTCAGAGGTGACAGGCTGTTTCATGCTGGCCACAATCGTCAAGCCACGAATGCTGGATTTTTCCTCGGCTATTTATATATGGGTCAGTAGTGCATTGTGTGGTTATTTTTATGGGAGTGGCTTGTCCACCTGCCAAAATAACAGAATAGACTACAGCAAGTGATCTAAACATTGGATGAATAAATAGCTTTAACTAGCTTCCCAGGCCAAAACAAACTATTAAATAGACAACCTAAGCAAATCCCCCTAGAAAACTATTTACTACATTAATAAAACATCAAAAAACAAAAAGAATAAATAATACAAAATGAAAATGAAAAACAAGTAAAATAAATTAACCCAAATAAATAAATAAATAAACAAACAAAGCCACACCCCAAAAAATAACCACCAGATTAGATTACCCACAATGCACCACTGACCCATATATAGAAATAACTGGGGAAAAATCCAGCATTCATGGCCTGATGATTGGGTCCAGCATGAAACAGCCTGTCACCTCTGAGTGTCGACTTCCATGTTCACTTTTATATATGCTCTATCACTGATATTGAGCACTTTATCTCATAAATATAGCACACCTAAAATTTTAAAATTTTATATATATATATATATATATATATATATATATATATATATATATATATTTTTAAAGAAAGGGATGTATTTTTTACTTTTTTTTAGTAGATACTCATATTTGAGTAGATGCTCTGTTGAAGGCTAGTAGATAAAAATAAATATACTGTTTAATAAATAAATTTAGTATTCACTAAAAATAATGTTTAAAGAATAATAATCTGTTGGATTTGTTTGGAAAATTGTTTTTTTTACGTTAGACATATCTGCTCAGTTTTGTATCATATTCCAAGAGTAAAATCTTTATTTAAACGCACTAGTCAAATGTTGCTTGGACCTTTCTGTGGCCGAGAGGTTCAAAGCATGTCATATCTAATGATGGTTTCTCCTAGGGGAACATGGTTTTGAATCCTGTCATTCAAAACACTCAAAACACTATGAAACTGTAAAAATAGGTTTCTATAGTAAAAATATGATCAATAAATTTTTATAGTAAAAATACCAGCGATACATTTGACTCTGGAGAAAAATCTTCTTTCCAAAAATACATCAACGAAACCTGATTTACAAACTGATTTCTGACAAAGAATACATTCTATTCATATGAACTTATTTTAAAAATCTTGTGGGCATTAAATAACCCATTGAGGTGTTGATATACCATGAAACAAATTAAACCCAAACCCAGTACCTCAGGTCGATGACAGCGGTTGAATACCACATGTTGTAGGCTTTGTGACAGGCCAAGTAAGCCACCAGTGGAGACAATCTTTTACTTATACTGATGGAAGACCTTGATATGGAGTGGTGCTTCTGAACTGGCAGGTCACAAGACCTATCTGGAGTTGGGTGATAGTGTGTATATGTGTGTGTATTCTTGTTTAACAAAACATCTCACCATCTTGAGGTGGATGTGGAACTGTGTACAGAAGTATATCAAAAAGCGTGTGAATTTGCTTGCCGATCTGTGTGATTTCAACTTCCTTTACACATATTTGTGTTTCGTTTTGGAATCTACTGGTGAAACATACCTAATTACTTGACGGGTTCCTCTTTCAAGCACTTAAAACCTGACAACTGGTGGGCTTTCTGCTCTCACTCACCTGTCACTTACAAGTGTATTCAGAATTCAATCAGTTTTTCCCAAGTATATTCACTTACCAGCCCTGCCAAATGTTTCTGTGTCGGCATCGTCAATAAAATAAAACTAAGAGATGCATTATTATTTTAGAAACTTGTTAAGTATTTCAACAGTGCAAAGTTACTACATCATTTTCTAGTTAGTGTTGTTGATGACTTGTTGTCTTCGGACAATGCTGAGAAGATTAAAATTCTATTAGATTTATTCTAGAATCAGCTAATTAAAAAAAAAAAGAAAGACAGTTGAAATTTTTTAGGGCACACGATGAGAAAAGAGGGCTTGGAAAATTTGATACTGAAAGCAAGAGAAACAAAGGAAAAATGTGTATACCTACCGAACAAGCTTGTGTAAATGGATGGCAGAACAGGGTTTAGGAGAGATAGCAAAAAGTCAAAATTTACAAAGAGCTACAAAGGACAAGAAATTGTGGAGAGCCATGAATGCCAATGTTCTGAAGGGACATGGCACATCTGAGAAGTAGTATCGCCTACCTAATGAACTTATGCAAATGGAGGACAGAACAGGGTTTAGGAGAAATAGCAAAAAGACAAAATTTACTAAGCCATAAAGGACAGGAAATTGTGGAGAGCCATGATCGACCATGTCCTGAAGTGACATAGTACATAGAAGAAGTAGTATGAATGTATGTAAATGTAGAACAGTGTTTAAGAGATATAGCACAAAGACAGTTTTTACTAAGAGCTATAAATGACAGGAAATTATGAAGAGCCATGAATGCCAATGTTCTGATGGGCTATATCACATTGTAGAAGATGAATGAATTGTTTAAGATTACTAGTTCGGTGTTTTGGGATAATACTAAGATGATGCAAACATTTTTAATAAAATCCTATTAAATTTTTCCTGAAAGAAAAAATTTGTTGAAATAAAATTCTTATTTCTCACTGATAGAAATGGAGCACACACACACTTCATTTTTTTTTTTTTCTTTTTTACAGTGAAATTCATCCTCAATAGTGCCTGGGAGTCACTTGTGATAGAGGGTTACAGGGTAATAGGATAAATTTATACAGATATGTGGGGAAGATAACGCTTAACCCTTGACTTGAACTGGTTAAGATTGTAGTGATCTGGAAAACATTGTCTTTGAAGTCGGTTCCACAGCACAAAAAATAAAGAAAGCATAAGTGCTTCTATTTAAATTGGGGAATGAAACCCACATGAAAAATGAAGGTTGAAGAACTTAAATTTAGATATTTGATGGTTGGTTGGTTTAGCAGCATATCAACCTCTACGGGTAATTTAATGCTGAAATTTAAATATCTTACACACAATTTTTATTTTATTTTTAGGGCATAATAATTGTTGTCGTTATACAAGTCTTGCTGGGGAAGAATAGGTAACTTCATACCTTTTCCCAAGGGTATTTGCCAAGTGTATTTGCATGTAAGTGAATATAACAAGCCCAAATGGAATTGGAACTCAGCTCCCTGATTAACATTATCAATTGCACTAACCATACATCCAAGCATACAGCACCTGGTATTCCCAAGAGGGCACTCATTGAAGTACTGACCAGGCTTGACATTGCTTAACTTTGGTCATCATACGGGAACCAATGTTTCGACATGATGTGGCCACGTTTTCATTTTGGAATAGTTTAAGAATTTGTTTTAAGCTATGTTTTCGGGATGGATGGTAAAGACAAAAATAAATTGTGGCATTCAATTTTGCTTTAATATACAAAACAATGGTTGAATAAAGAACTTCAATAAGGATTTATGAAATGCTCAGTTTAATCTAGCGTCAGGTGACATATATAGGAGGTACTTTGTGGGGGTTAAACTCACTTAGTGCCGAAACTGTTTAACAAGCCACAGACTTTGACGTGTTATCATAAAATAAAAAAAATCCAACTTTGATCATGTCTGTTTTCACTTTCTTCAAAATACGAGAAATTAAAATAAGTGAAAATTTATTTGTATGCTGTTTACTGTAGATGAGTTGAAGTAGTGTACAGAAGAGTGGACTGATTTTTTAGTGTTGGTTTATTACCTTTACTGTTCAACATGTTCGTCCATGCATTGAATATTGCTGCCACATCTGGTCTGGTGCTCCTGCCATGCATTCAGTGATCCTTGGTGAAATCCAAGGACAAATCTGCAATGTCATCAGTCCTGACCTGTCATCCCAGCTCCAGTCATTTTCCTACCATTTTAATGTAGCTTCCATGTGACTTTTCTATAAATATAAATAGTTTCTTTTCTCGTACTTCTCATTTGTGGAACTCACTTCCTCAGTCAACTTTTATCTTCAAGAATTTAAATGCAATGTGAAATCGTTATCTTCTGTCTTCTTAATTCCTGTTCTCGTGCCTTAATAGTATTTTTCTTTTTTCCACATACTCTCTAATCCCCAATGAGGATTGATAATACTGATTTGCTACACAAGAGCACTAACCATTAGGCTCAAAATGGAATTTATTCTGCTTAGTTTAAGTTAGCACTTGGCTACATATGTGAGGTTCCCAATGAGGATTAAGCTCATTTAATGACAAACCTTTTTATTTACCCACAGATTTTGACATGCTATAAAATATTGTAAAATTGAAAAAAAAATCCAACTTTGATCGTGATCGTTTTTTGCTTTCTTCAAAATACGAGAAATCAAAATAAAGTGAAAAATAAATTAAAATTTACTTGTATTGTGTTTACACGATGCAAACTGAAGTAATGTACACAATATAGAGCTGATTTTGAATTTTGTTTATTATTTTTACCGTTCAGTACACGACTTTTAGAAATAAATTAGAAATGTCACAAGTGATGCAAAAGTGACATTAAAGCTATTTGAAGGTGGTTGACACAAGAATATGCCGTCATCGCTGATTGGGACTTAAACTCGTCCCAGACTTCTAGTGAAACTCGTACATACAATCCATCACTAAAGATACTTGAAAAATGGTCAGTTTCCAGTAAGTACCTTACTCCTCCACCTGCTATCCTCTACCTTTACAAGAGCCATTATCAGGCCGAAAATAGGGTACTGTTTCCATATATGTGCAGGAGCTGCCCAGTCTTCTCTTTCTAGTCTTGATAGAGCCCAAAAGCATCTCAGTGTCCTTGTTGGTGAGGAATTACTTTCCACCTTGCAGACCCCTTTCTCATAAATGAGATATCGCAAGCCTCTTGCTGTTCTGTCGCTAATTGAGTTTGTTCTGACGTACTACACACCAGTTCTAACCTTCACAGGTAAGACCTGCCATCCCATGCACATTGTAGCTACTTTCACTTCATATTCCCTTGGTGAGATGTAAGTTCCACTTGAGCAGTTTCTTCCCACAAATCACTGCCTTGTGGAAACGGCTCCCAAGAGTATGCTTCCCCAATCACTACAATCTTTATCTGTTCAAGTCTGGGTTTGGCTGGTTGTTTTTATTTAGCAACATGTCAATACCTCTATGGGTTATTTAATGCTGAAATCTAAATACTTTGTACGCCATTTTATAGCTTCAACTACAAATATTTTGTAGATGAGTTTATACTTTCAGTGCAAACATGTTTTTTATATATATTGTTCAGAGATAATAAAATGTATTGCTGGTAATTTTAGTATAAAAATGTATTTTTATACTTTAGTACTATATTTTTATGATGTTAACGAACACTTGTTGTCACTTTCGTAATGCTCATTGTAGTAGAGACTTTGTAATCATAGATACAACTATAGTACACCGTTGAACAATACTAGTGTCAGATGCCTTCAAATGGCATTCACAGTAATAGTACTTGCTCGATAATACTCACTCGGACAGTAATTTGTATAGTAATCCGAATAGAGAAATAGTATAATGAATAGAGTAGAGAATAGCGATCCAAATAGTAATAGAGGATAGAGTAGAGAATAGCGATCCAAATAGTAATAGAGGATAGAGTAGAAATAGCGATCCGAATAGTAATAGAGGATAGAGTAGAAATAGCGATCCGAATAGTAATAGAGTAGAAATAGCGATCCGAATAGTAATAGAGGATAGACTAGAATGACAATTCAAACAGTAATAGAGGATAGACTAGAAAGTGATCAATCTAGACATCACACGATTTCCTATATATGCGTTTCCTCTGTGATTACGTGATCGACTGTCATTTTGCTATAAAAATGTATTACTACTACTGGTCAATTTTCATATGAATATATTGCTAGTATTTTTTTACCATCTTAGTAAACCACCAAACAAAAAGTCTAGTCTTTGAGTCTCAGGTTAACCATTGTTTTCTACACATATCCATATAATCTGTGCCTCTTACTCTGTAACCCTCTACCTTGAGTGGCTATCAGACCTTGTACAGGTTGAATATCATTCACTTGCCAAAACGTGATGTCTGTGTAGCCAGGTGAAAATTAATGAGGAATATAACTTCTCCACTCGGATATTGTGCAGTGATAAGCATGCAGAAAACCCGAATGCTTATTTTCCGCCCCAAAATCCCCTGACATCTAATCTTCACTTGAAATGTTTCAGTATCGATTTTTATTTCGACAGTTACAAACATTATTTTGGTTTTAAGTTTCCAACCGTTCATTATTTGTAAATACTTTATTGCCTGGTTTGATCGAATGAAGTGGATCTTTGGTGTTTCGCCATTTTTTTTTTTTCGGCTCACATCAGGAATTGGCGAATACCATGTGTTACATACAAGCATCATTATCAATCACTTTTTGTTTTTTATTTATCTTCATGCTTCATGAGGTAGCCATCCATGAGGAATATTTCTGTGGAAGGTAGATGTGTTTTTGTATTTTACATTTTTTTTTTCACTGATGTAAGTAATTTCTAAAATGTGCGAAATGTCCAGCTCTTCTCTATGGGGAGAAAGTAGGCAGTTTATTTAAATTTTTTTCCTCATTTTTTTTCTGTTTTTCTTTTTTGTTATTTTTTTGTTTTTTATTTTTAGTCTGTTTCTTTTTTTCTGTTTTTGTTGCTTAAGTTTTTTTTTTTACTTTTTGTTTTGTCTTTTTCTTGTTTCTTTATTTTTATTATTTTATTTTTTATTGTTTTTTTTGTTTGCTTTTTTTTTTGCTTACTTTTGTTTTTTTTTTTATTGATTTTTTTCATTTTCAGCAGAGGCAAGGGGGATGCTTTTTTCACAACTTGGTCTAGAAAAGAGTTATTTTCCTCTTGATACGTGATTATGTGTGAAAGAAGTCTCAGGGGTAGATTTCTTTACTGTAGGCATGATGACAGTGTCGCTCAAAGGGACCTTGTCATCAATTTATTTACTCGTTTTTTTTTTTTTAAATGAAACTTCTTTTTTTTATTTTCATCATTAAATTTATTTAACACCATACTGTTTTGTTGTCTTATCTTCTGTTATTTTTTAGGCAACATTATAATTTCATCCACTGAGAATTTTGCATTTGTCTTAGAAATCTTAGGTCATTTTTAGCATTCTTCCATGGAACTGGTATTTTTCTTATTTTTTTTAATTTAAGGGCTCTGTAAAAACCAGAATAAATCCAAAGAAGAATCAGCAATATTATTGGCTCATAACTAGTTGCTCTGTTTTGGTATCAACCAATGGGGTCAGTAGAAACAAAAAAAAAAATCTGTGTGACAACATTAAGTTCAATCAAAAATATCTTGTAAAAAGTCCTGCAGGCAATGTAGTAATGAAAACACGGGGTCAGAAATCCAACCTTCCTTTTGCTATCCACATCATTACTGCCTCAATACTAAAGAATTGATCATACAAAACCAACAATTCACAAACAGTAGGCACCCTCAACAAGACACTACAACAACAAAAATACATACATATATACAGGGTGTGATGGGTAAATGGTTGCCATTTTATATTTTTAATTTCGCACATGTGCATTCATTGTTCTTGATTTTGTCAACTGCACAGTATAGTAGGGTCAGTTGAGCACCGTCTGTGAGAAAAAGAAAGCCATGACACAATTCACTCCACCAGAAATTTGGAAATGGCATGCTGTATTGCTTGACATTCATGCCGGATGCTCAAATACAAACATTTCAGAGTGTTTCAGTGTCAATCTGAGAACAGTGCAGAGGATTCAGAAAGGTTGGAAAATTCACTCTGGTCATTCTGATAAGAAAAGAACTTTATTTGTTGGATGATGGCCTCAGACTCAACATTCTGTGTGAAGAGGGTGGCCTGCTGGAAGATCCTATGCCTAGTAACCGGACTCTGCACCATGCCACATAAACAGGAGAACTCATTCATGACTGTCAGACAATTTCTGCAAACTGCATCACCCTTTACATCTGTCCATCTAACTTCCAAAATTGAAACCTCCTTGATTATTATGCATAGGGTGCAAAACTCCTTGTAAGTCCAAAGATGAACTAAAGGCAAGGATTATGGCAGCATTCACTAACTTAAGCAAAGAGACCATCCAGGATATTCCAAATTTGTCTAGAAGCCATGATTGAAGCCAGTGCCAATTTTATTGAACAAATCTGCTCTTTAGTATTTTAAAATATTTTTGTGTAATTTTGGTAAATATATCTGTTAAAATGAGATGTCAGTATCATTTTCATTTTTGCATAATTTTGATGCCAATTTAGTGTGAGTGTATGTATACATGTAATATATATATTACGGGGAATATGCCTG